AGAGCAGTGGGAGCTCACCCCATTGCGCGGATTCGAACTGCTGACCTTCTTCCTGGCAAGCCCAAGAGACTCAGTGGTTTAGACCACAGCGCCACCCACTCCCTTTAGGGATGCTCCACCCTTCTTTTCAGGCCTGAACATGACAGAAGTGTGTTGTCCCTCTGGGCCCTCCTGGCAGGGCTTCTCTCTTGGTTGTGAAGGTGGAAGAGCGGGAAGGGGAGGGCGAGAGCAAAGGAGGGGGGAGGTGAAAGGCTTGCCTTTCCAGCTAAGTGTGGGCTGCATTTGCTTTATGAGCGAGCAGGGAATGAAAACAACCAGCTATTAAATATTCTTCCTGGGAGACCTGTAACACTTTCTGTCCTATCCACTGGGCGGGTATAAATAAGAGGCTGTTTCTGGGCAGAGAAATGCCAGCATCTTGTGTGTTCTTGGAGATCCTTAAAGCCTTTGCCACCCCAGGCAGTCTGGCCATCAGATTCTGGGAGTTGTAGTGCAACAACATCAGGCAGCTGCAACATGCTGGCTACCTCTAGGATAAAGAGAGGGGGGCGGTCTGGAGCCAGGGAGCAGTACTGGGGTGTGTGTGTTCTGGTATGGCAATGCCACCTCTAAGCTTTGTAGTTCCTGGATTCCTGCATTGCAGGAGCTGGACTAGACAAATTTTTTGGTCTCGTCCAACTCTACATTTCTACGACCCTTGAGTGGGACCCCCCTCTCTCAGAGAGTCCACTCACCACTCCTTCCAGATGTCCCCACTAGCTGCTTCCGTTGATCCTCTTCTGACCTCCTGGCTTCCCACCAGGCCATCTCAGAGGCCCAGGGCTCAAACAGCCAATCTACCCTTTAACATGTTTTCCATTCAGCTGGTGAAAAAAACCAAGTATAGTGGACCCTCAGGTTGCGAAGGTGATCTGTGCAGGATGCACGCTCGCAACTCGCAGTGTCCGCAACCTGCAGCGGCGCGTCTGCGCACGCGCGGGTTGCGATTTGGTGCTTCTGCGCATGCGCAAAGCACAATTTGGTGCTTCTGCGCATGCGCAACTGCCGAAACCCGGAAGTAACCCGTTTTGGTACTTCCAGGTTTTGGCGGTCCGTAACCCGAAAAAACACAACCTGAAGTGTCTGTAACCCGAGGTATGGCTGTACGCATATCATTCTCCAAGCCTCCCGCCTCCCCCAGTTAACACCAGAAGCTGTTTGCCAAGATTTTACATCTAAAAATATATATATTTAGAAATTCTCTTTGTGAAGCTCAGGAAATTATGCAGAGCCCCCTTGTCATCTGTACACAGGGAGCAATGCCTGCTGCAATTTGCCTTATAGCTTGTGCATGCATGCATTATTATTATTTATTAAATTTATTGGTCACTCTTTTTTTGCCACGGGAACTCAAAGTGACAGCAAAGGATCCAGAAGTTCTCACAAGCTGCACTCCCATTCCTTCAAAGGCAGTGTAACCATATCAAGGCAACCTCCCATCCATCGGGTCTAAGGAACCGCCCGCTAACAGTGCCTCTGTCTTATCTGGATTGAGCTTCAGTTTGCTGGCTCTCATCCAGTCCATTACCAAGGCAAGGCAGCAGTCCACGGATATATAGAAGCCTGCAGAAAAATATTTGGGGAATTGGACAGCACTGAGTGTAGTAGTCAGACAGGCATCATGAATTCAAATAAAACTATTGACTCTGCGGCAGAGGGAGCAGGGCTCTGTGTACAGGCCAGCAGATCACATTTGTCACCTCCCCTCCCTCCTCTGTTTACGTTCTAAAAGCTTCTTTTTTTATATATATAAAAAATTTATTAGGGTTTTTACATTACAAAATAGAAAAAGAAAAAATACAAAATACAAAATAAAAGTAGTTAAAAACAATCAATCTTTTCATCACATTATTTTTCATTTACTTGTTTCCCGGACCTCCTCGTACCTCCCTTTTTTGTATCCCAGTTCAATTTATTAGCTCAGCAGTTTCTTTCCCTCTTTATTCTACCCAGATCTTTAATCTTAAGTTATTATAACATTAAATTTTTACTTATAAAAAACCATTTTTTCATATTCTTTTATACCATTACAGCTAGAAACCACTTAATTTCAATCCAACATCATTCTAACATTCATTAATTTTACAATATCTCTGTATATAGTCTTTAAATTTCTTCCAGTCTTCTTCCACCGACTCTTCTCCCTGGTCTCGGATTCTGCCAGTCATTTCCGCCAATTCCATGTAGTCCATCACCTTCATCTGCCATTCTTCCAGAGTGGGTAAATCTTGTGTCTTCCAATACTTTGCAATAAGTATTCTTGCTGCTGTTGTAGCATACATAAAGAAAGTTCTATCCTTCTTTAACACCGATTGGCCGACTATGCCCAGGAGAAAGGCCTCTGGTTTCTTCAAGAAGGTATATTTAAATACCTTTTTCAATTCATTATATATCGTCTCCCAGAAAGCCTTAATCCTTGGGCACGTCCACCAAAGGTGAAAGAATGTACCTTCAGTTTCTTTACATTTCCAACATTTATTATCGGGCAAGTGATAGATTTTTGCTAGCTTGACTGGGGTCATGTACCACCTGTATATCATTTTCATAATATTCTCTCTTAGGGCATTGCATGCTGTAAACTTCATACCTGTGGTCCATAACTGTTCCCAGTCAGCAAACATAATATTGTGTCCAACATCTTGTGCCCATTTAATCATAACAGATTTCACCGTTTCATCCTGAGTATTCCATTTCAACAGCAAGTTATACATCCTTGACAAAGTCTTAGTTTTGGGTTCTAACAGTTCTGTTTCTAATTTTGATTTTTCCACCTGGAAGCCAATTTTCTTGTCCAAATTATATGCCTCCATACGTTCTAAAAGCTTCAAGGACAGGAGTAGAACTCCATATCTTTGTTAACTGGGGGGGCTGATTTCGCTTGCTTTCCATCCCACTCCCTTTCCTATTTGTGTTGTGTCTTTTAGATGCTGAGTTGGGGGGCACGGATTGGTGTTTTGTGTTTGTTTAAAGTGTACAGCCCCCCTGTCACTAAGTTGTGTTTTTATATTAGGTTGGAACTGCTGCTCAGAGTGGCTGGCTGGGGTATATTATTATTATTATTATTATTATTATTATTATTATTATTATTATTATACAGTGGTACCTTGGGTTAAGAACTTAATTCGTTCTGGAGGTCCGTTCTTACCCTGAAACTGTTCTTAACCTGAGGTACTACTTTAGCTAATGGGGCCTCCTGCCGCCACCGCACAATTTCTGTTCTCATCCTGAAGCAAAGTTCTTAACCTGAGGTACTATTTCTGGGTTGGCGGAGTCTGTAACCTGAAGTGTCTGTAACCTGAAGCGTCTGTAACCCGAGGTACCACTGTATGTGGTGATGTCTTTAAAAGGGAATTAGACAATTTCAGGGAGGGTAGTAAGGCTGTTGGTGGCTGCCAACCATGATGGCTACGTTATGTCTTAATTGCTTGAGACAATCTGCCCCTGGATACCAGTCGCTTTGGAGCAACTGTCAGAGAGGGATTTTGTGTTGGGATCTGCTGGTGGGTTTCCCATTGTGGCTCCTGGTTCACCGTTGTGGAAATCTTGGATCTGATGCAGCTGCAGGGCTCTTCTGTGTCAACTGAAATACTTCTGTGTGAATTTCTCGGGGTACGGAGATCCGCGTTGGCTGTGGAGTCGGCCTGAATCCCTTGGCGCTGTGGACGGAGGAGGATCTGTGAGTAAAAGTTGGAAGGGATCCCACGGACCCTCCAGCCCAGCCCCTTTTAGAGGGCTAACATAAGGACATCAGAAGAGCCAGCTGGATCAGGCTAATGGCCCATATTGTCCAGCATCCTGTTCTCACAGTGAACAACTAGGTGTCTGTGGGAAACCAGCAAGCAAGATTCGAGTACAATCTCCCTTCCTGTGGTTTCCAGGACTGGCCTTCAGAATCATTGTCGCCTCCAGCTGCAGACACAGAGCACAGTTGTCATGGCTAGTTCATAGGTCTCTCCTCCATGAATTTGCCTCATCCTCTTTTATAGCTAGGGACGCAGGTGGCACTGTGGGTTAAACCACAGAGCCTAGGACTTGCTGATCAGAAGGTTGGCGGTTTGAATCTCCACGATGGGGTGAGCTCCCGTTGCTCGGTCCCTGCTCCTGCCAACCTAGCAGTTCGAAAGCACATCAAAGTACAAGTAGATAAATAGGTACCACTCCGGCGGGGAGGTAAATGGTGTTTCCGTGCGCTGCTCTCGTTCGCCAGAAGCGTCTTTGTCATGCTGGCCACATGACCCGGAAGCTGTACGCCGGCTCCCTCGGCCAATAAAGCGAGATGAGCACTGCAACCCCAGAGTCGGTCACGACTGGACCTGATGGTCAGGGGTCCCTTTACCTTTATCTTTTATAGCTATTCAAGTTGGAAGCCACCACTGCCTCATGTGGGTGTGAGTTCCATCATTGTTTTTTATTTTTATTATTATTATTATTATTATTATTATTATTATTATTATTATTTATACCCTGCCCGTCCCAGTTCAAAAACCAGGCTCAGGGCAGCTAACAACAAATTTAAAACACTTTAAAACACTTAATTATAAAAGCAGCATAAAATACAGTATAAAAACATGAATAACAATATAAATCAAAAATCAATCAGATAATCCCCAGGGCTATCTGGCTGAATTGGTCCTACTTGGGCCAGCAAGGAGGCCAGGGGAGAATTTGCTGTGGGGTCTCAGAACGGGTGATCTTCATAAAAAGGGGAGGGGAAGGGAAGGAAAATAAAAGATCAGGCTGAATTCAAATTAAAGGCCAGGCAGAATAGCTCTGTCTTACAGGCCTGACGGAAGGAGGTTAAATCCTGAAGGGCCCTAGTCTTATGGGACACAGCATTCCACCAGGTTGGAGCCATCACTGAAAAGGCCCTGGCCCTGGTGGAGGATAGTCTGACTTCCTTAGGGCCCGGGACCTCTAAACTATGGTTATTCATGGACCTTAAGGTCCTCTGCGGGGCATACCAGGAGAGGCAGTCCCATAGATACGAAAGCCCTAAGCCACATGTATGCACTGCATGAAGACCTACTACCTTCCATCTGCCTTGAATTGTACAACCTTCAGCATCATTGGGTGTTCAGGAGTTCTACCGCTGAGCGAGAGGGAGAAATGCTTTTCTCTGTGTACATATGGCACAGTGATCTGTGTCTTCAGCTTCTGCCCTTCTCGATGAGACCGCAACCACAGGAAGCTGACGTGAAAACGCTTTTTAGAAAGAGAGAGAGAGAAAGGGTGGTGGAGGAAGGAAAACGCAGCCTTGTTGAGCAGTGCTGAGTGCGCGGCGCACCCACAGAGAGGCCAGGAGTGGGGCCAAGGAGACATTGTGTGTCCCCACCTGCTGCTGCTGCCGCTGCTCCTCCTTAACCATGGAAGAGACAGTAGTAAAGAAAGGCTTGCTGTACCTGCTCCAGCACCAGACCTTTGGGAAGGTAAGACTGGCTTCTCCTCACTGAATGTTGGAACAAGGTGTTCGCCAAGATCTCTTTGATACCCAAACAATTCATTGTTTTGATGCATTTACATTCTTAATCTGAGCATATTAGCATGTCTTTTTAAGAGCAATATTTTGTCATATAATCATCAAAGCATTGCCATTCATTTTTTTAGTTTTTGTTTTGATTGCTGTCGTATGGATGCTGTTCATTTAGCCAATTTTAAATATTCATTTAATTTGAGAAGCCATTCCTCCTTGGTAGGTAGTTCTTTAGCTTTCCATTTAGACGCTATTACTATCCTGGCTGTGGTGGTCGCATATAAGAAAAATCTTTTTTTCGATTTTGGTATTTCTTTTCCTAAAAGGAAGCCCAGTAGGTAAGCCTCTGGTTTTTTCGTTAATGGGATTTTAAGCATTTTTTTCAACTCCTCATGTATTTCTCCCCAGAAGTACTTAATCAGGGTGCAACTCCACCACATATGCTTTGTTGTACCAGCTTCCTTGTTGCATTTCCAACAGAGGTTGGATTTCAGTTTATAGATTTTTGCTAATTTGACTGGTGTTAAATACCACCTGTAGAACATTTTGATGAAATTTTCTTTTATTGTACTACAGGCAGTAAACCTTATATCTTCCTGCCAAAGTTTCTCCCTTTGCTCTAAATACATTGTGTGGCCAAAGTCTCGTGCCCATTTAATCATTGTCTCTTTCACTTTCACATCAATCATGTCCAAATCTAGCAAAAGGTTATACATTTTAGATAGGAATTTTTTTTTAAAAAAAAATGTTTCATGTATTAATGATTTCTCTTTAGCAGAGCCTTTCTTTGAGTTCGAGATACCCAAACAAATTATTGTTCCATTTTTGCACCTGGCTCTGTTGAACCTGTCTATGGAAACCGAACAGGATTTGAAAAGCAAAGAACTGATTTCTCAGCTCTCCTAACAGCAGCTCAGGGCTGAATTGACAAACTCTATAAGGCCTGTCATCTTAAGAATTTGGATTGCTGGTGTTCAAGGGTTTGGCAAATTGCCCTTCTTGAACAGATACATCATAAACTAAAAGTATCTAAAAGGCAGAGTGTGAAAATATATATAGAAAGAGAGACAGAGAGCATTATTTCATTTCTTATGCCAATTCTGAGAGTTGTAGTCACTCATTGCCACCAGTCAGGGTCGGATTTAGATTAGATGAGGCTCTAAGCTATTGAAGGTAATGGGGCCCTTTATATGTCCAGCTGTCGTTTGTCAACAACAAATTGTCGCTGTTTTTTGTGTTGAATATATGCTATATGGTAATTTATGGACCTAATAGGGATCTAGAGCCATTTGCACATAGCAAAATATGTATTTTCTCAAAGTAATTGATAAAGAAATGAGCAAACCAGTGATATTTTAGGGAGCAGGAGGGGCCCATTACTTACATCATAGGAGCCTACACAACACAAAACACAGTTGCTGCATGTAGGTTTTATTTTATTTGTTTTTTATCTTATATTTTGGAAATGTACATCCAGTTGTTGTTTTTCCTTTAATTTTTTGGGGGGCCCCAAGAGAGTGGGGCCCTAAGCTATAGCTTGTTTAGCTTATACGTAACTTTGGCACTGCCACCAGTGTATGTAAATGTCTGGCTCAGACATTTAAGACTAGAACCTTTCTTCTCAATAATGATGGAGCTCACAAGTGGGGAATGCTTTTATATTTATACATATTTATGATTTGTAAATGGAACCTTTGTATGAGTTAATACTTTATTATTCCTTTGGAGCTCTGCTGGATTTGTGTATTTTTGTCCTTCCAGGCTGTGATGCTTTATGGTTTACATTTTGTATTCCTTTTTGTTTTTGTTAGGCTTGCACTTGTTGTTGTTGTTGTTAATAAATTAATACAATTTAGCAAAAAAAAAAAGACCAGCTAGTCCTCCTCCAGCTTCGAACCTCCTTTTTTGCTTTAGGCTAGAAGCTCAGGGATCACTTCCACCAGGCTCCAGATATCTTGCCTCTCCCGTCCTTTGAAAACCCTTTAAAAATTGCTCTGTTCCCTCTGAAATTTGGCCCCAGTTTGCCTCCAAACGTATAAATTATTGTAACTCACCTAGGGAATTGCTTGATAAAGGGCAAATGAAAAATACCCTTAACAAAGAGAAAGAAAACAGGCGAATTTCTTCAATGTGCAGGCTGTGCCCTGAGTCTTTAAGGATCAGGCTGGATAGAGCCCAGCCTTTCCATAGGCAGGAGATGAACACAGGGCTTAAACACACACAAAGACACACACAGAGGGGGAGAGAGAGAGAGAGAGAGAGAGAGAGTGTCACCCCAGTTTCCTTCTCCCCATGAACTTTCACATTTGCTCTTTTTCACCCTTGCTAGTGTTATAAGAATTTTAAGGTCTTATATATATAAAATAAATGTATAAACCATGTGGAAATACGGGGGAAATAGAGGGTCCCAAACCACCTCAGATTTGTCAGTTGTGGGCGTGTCAAGGCCCTGCCTGGAAATCTTGGAGAGATATCGCCTTAGCACTTCTTTTCAAACTTTGTTGTTGTTGTTTAGTTGTTTAGTGGTGTCCGACTCTTCGTGACCCAATGGACCAGAGCAGGCCAGGCACTCCTGCCTTCCACTGCCTCCCGCAGTTTGGCCAAACTCATGCTGGTAGCTTCGCGAACACTATCCAGCCATCTTGTCCTCTGTCGTCCCCTTCTCCTCGTGCCCTTCATCTTTCCCAACATCAGGGTCTTTTCCAGGGAGTCTTCTCTTCTCATGGGGTGGCCAAAGTCTTGGAGCCTCAGCTTCAGGATCTGTCCTTCCAGTGAGCACGCAGGGCTGATTTCCTTAAGAATGGAGAGGCTTGATCTTCTTCCAGTCCATGGGACTCTCAAGAGTCTCCTCCAGCACCAGAATTCAAAAGCATCCATTCTTCGGCAATCAGCCTTCTTGATGGTCCAGCTCTCACTTCCACACATCACTACTGGGAAAACCAGAGCTTGAACTATACGGACCTTTGTCGGCAAGGTGATGTCTCTGCTTTTGCAGTATACAAAGGTTTTTTTTATGACTAGAGAAACAAACCTTTGTGTGCATTTTTTCTCCCCCTCAGAAATGGCGGAGGTTCTGGGCTGTCCTGTACAGGGAAAGCGCCTGTGCCCCGGCCCGCCTTGAGCTCCTGGAGTCGGTGGAGAAAGCCAAGAAAGGGGATAGCAGCAGACGCATCATCAAGTTGGAGGACTGCGTGCAGGTGGCTGAGGCAGGTGGAGAGACCGGCAGCCCCAAGGAGACAGTGCCTTTCTTCCTGGAGACCACCGAGAAATTCTACCTGCTGGCTGCTGAGAGGGCGGAGGCGGAGGCCTGGATCCTGGAGCTGTGCAAGCATGCTTTCACTGTGAGGAAAATGGCACTCAGCAGTACAGGTCATGTCTCATGCAGAGGGAGGTGTGGAAAGCTGCACCTCATCATCCTGTGTGTGTAGCAGTTTAGAAACTGCCTTTCACTGGCCCATGGTCTGTCAGAGGACTGACGAAATGAAATCCTTCTTCACATATAGTTAAACTTTGGAACGCCTTGTCGCAGGAGGCAGTGATGATGACCCCCAACCAAAGATTGCTTTTTTTCCTTCAATAGAGCACAATTTTTATTAATTTTAAAAAACCACCAGCTTTTAGGGACGCGGGTGGTGCTGTGGGTTAAACCACAGAGCCTAGGACTTGCCGATCCGAAGGTCGGCGGTTCGAATCCCCGCGACGGGGTGAGCTCCCGTTGCTCGGTCCCTGCTCCTGCCAACCTAGCAGTTCGAAAGCACCTCAAAGTGCAAGTAGATAAATAGGTACCACTCCGGCGGGAAGGTAAACGGCATTTCTGTGCGCTGCTCTGGTTCGCCAGAAGTGGCTTAGTCCTGCTGGCCACATGACCCGGAAGCTGTATGCCGGCTCCCTCGGCCAATAAAGCGAGATGAGTGCCGCAACCCCAGAGTCGGCCATGACTGGACCTAATGGTCAGGGGTCCCTTTACCTTTGCCTTACCAGCTTTTAGTACAGTTCCATGCAGTAGCTTCAATACAGGTGTACAGCAACAGATAATGTCATAAAGAACAAAGTTAGTCAGTTAAAGGGAAAGATTGCAGGGAGGGTTGTGTTTTTTTGCAAGAATAAAAGAAAGCATGATAAACTAGGGAGTGTATCAAGTTTTGTTTAAGCTAAAGCAAAAGCTCTGGAGAACTGATTTAAACAAAACTTATGCAACCATACATTGTGACATTATGTTAGGGAAAATAGGGAAAACACTTGTTGGTAATTCTGACTGGAAACCAGAGATGGCTTTAACAGAGAATTAGACAAATTCACGGAGGAGGCTATTGTTAAAAGAAAAAAACTGCTCCTTTTCCCTTATGGGGTATCCAAGAGTCCGTATAGAGCCCTATCAGTAGGAGAAAAGAACAGAGGCCAACCAGAGTATATTGAGAAGCAAAGCAGCTAGTAAGCCTGATCTTTATTAAACTGTTGCAACAGGGTCCCCCGCAGGGAGGGAGGAGAGGAACCCAGAACATTGGTGTGCAAGCTCTTATATAGACTTTTGATATTGCCCACCCTGTAGCCCAAGACCACCCCGCAAAACATTATACTTACATCACAGAAGGTGGTCTACAGCAGAAAACCTGTCTGGCAGGATACCTGATAATGGTCGCTGATTGCTTTACCTGGGCAGCCTGGCCATTCTTTTGTGAATACTTTAGTTCCTGAGTCCAGGTCACAGGCTCACCCTATTCATACACAAATATGTCCTAAAGACAGGATTTGCAAGCAAAAAGAGAATGGGAAGACTTTCCCCATTTGCCTCCCTTACTGCAGAGGAATATTTGAGGTCATTGGGAGAATCAAAACGGCTTCATCATTGCTCTCCCATACTATTTCAGGCACATGGTTCATATATTTAGATATGTGTGCATTTAAGAATATTTATTTTATATTTGAGACCTTAGAATTCTTATAATAATATGGATGGCTCCTAGCCACAATGGCTGTGCTTTGCCCTCCACAGTCGGAGGCAGCAATGCTTCTGGAAACCAGCTGCTGGAAACTGCAGGAGGGGAGAGGGCTGTTGTTGTGTTCATATCCTGCTTCTGGGATTCCCTTTGAGGTGCAGCGGTTCTCAACCTGTGGGTCCCCAGATGTTGTTGGACTACAACTCCCATCATCCCTTGGTAGCAAGGCCAGAGCTCAGGGATGATGGGAGTTGTAGTCCAACAACATCTGGGGACCCACAGGGTGAGAACCGCTGTGAGTCTAAACCAATGGTTTTTAACCAGTGTGCCGTGGTACCCTGGGGTGCCTTGAATGATGGTCAGGGGTGCAGTGGGCAACACTGGCCTCTGTCCCTCTTTCCTTCCCTCCTTCCTCGGATGTCCTCTGGCGTCTCTGCCTCCCAAAGGCTTGCACAACTGTTTTTTGCAGCAGCCCTGGCTATAAGCTCCCCAGGCAAATGGTGCCTCTGGGGCTGGCCCAGGCCCCTGTGGGGCACCTCTCTCTGGGGCAGGGGATATAGCCCAGAGACCAGGATGGCAGCAGTGGCTGCCCTGAGGACTCCCAAGGAGAGGGGAGGAGGCTGAGGGAACACCCCACCATGAGGACAGGACTAGATGGGCCCCCTTTGGCTCCATCCAGCAGAGGGCTCTTCTTATATTTGTGAGAAACAACCAAAGCATGCACAAACCCCTCTAATTCTAAGGTGTCGAAACAATAAAATAAATGTTCATAAATACACAGGGTGGGTGCACACACATAGGTACATAAGCCGTAGTTTGAAATGGTGCAGGAGAACAATCCCGGAGCCATTTGGACTCTCACCTCAAATATTTCTCTTTGGTAGCAGGAAAACGCCTTTCTAGATTGTTTATTTACAGGATTTACAAGTGAAAAACAACTAACTGCTTGGAATGAAGGGGCTTATCCCTCTGCAAAGTGGGAGGCGGGTGGCGCTGTGGGTTAAAGCCTCAGCGCCTAGGGCTTGCCGATTGAAAGGTTGGCGGTTCGAATCCCCGCGGCAGGGTGCGCTCCCGTTGTTCGGTCCCAGCGCCTGCCAACCTAGCAGTTCGAAAGCACCCCTGGGTGCAAGTAGATAAATAGGGACCGCTTACTAGCGGGAAGGTAAACGGCGTTTCCATGTGCGGCTCTGGCTTGCCAGAGCAGCGATGTCACGCTGGCCACGTGACCCGGAAGTGTCTCCGGACAGCGCTGGCCCCCGGCCTCTTGAGTGAGATGGGCGCACAACCCTAGAGTCTGTCAAGACTGGCCCGTATGGGCAGGGGTACCTTTATCTGGCTGAGGGGCTGGGAAATTTCCAAAGCTTTTAAAAGTTCTTTCACACCTTTGTTCAGGGTCCTCGCCTCCTACCTAAGGTGTGGAAGAGATGTTTGTTGTAACAGGAAAATAAAGATCTGCCTTGCTTTCACAGGATCCTGCCTCAGCTGAGGCTTCTCTGAGGTTCCTCTTCTTTGAGGTTCCTCTGATATGGAACGTGGGGGACCCTTGAGTCCCTTAATGGGGAGCTGGGCTGTAGAAGCCACACACCCCGCTGTTTTCTGGTAACAATATGTTCTCTTTGGGTTTTAGAGAAGCACTGAAGACTGGAAAGTGATGCTGGAGAAGGAGCTCCTGAAGGGCAAGGCCACGTCTCCCACTGCTCTCTCCATGGCAGAGAATTCCCTGTACAGCACCACCTGCAAAGGTAGGAGGGGAGAGCAAGAGAGCCCTAGTTGTGCAGGGAGCCAAGAGGAAGGGGCTGCCGCCATTGACAGATGGTGCTTGTGTTGTGAGTCGAGGGCTTTTATTGGTTACAGCATGGGAGTAGTATTCGCTTAGGCATTGTAAGAAACTGCAATACGGAGTGGTACCTCAGGTTACATACGCTTCAGGTTACAGACTCCGCTAACCCAGAAACAGTACCTCAGGTTAAGAAGTTTGCTTCAGGATGAGAACAGAAATCGTGCAGCGACAGCAGGAGGCCCCATTAGCTAAAGTGATGCGTCAGGTTAAGAACAGTTTCAGGTTAAGAACGGACCTCCGGAACGAATTAAGTACTTAACCCGAGGTACCACTGTACCAGACTCCACCCTGCACAGCCGGGAGTCATATCAGGGTTAATAATAATAATAATAATAATAATAATAATAATAATAATAATATATTATTTATACCCTGTCCATCTGGCTGAGTTTTCCCATCCACTCTGGGTGGCTTACAATCGAGTATTAAAAACAATACAGCATTAAATATTAAAAACTTCCCTAAACAGATGTCTTTTAAAGATAAGATAGCTGCTTATTTCCTTCACATCTGAAGGGAGGGTGTTCCACACGGTGGGCGCCACTACTGAGAAGGCCCTCTGCCTGGTTCCCTGTAACCTCACTTCTTGCAATGAGGGAACAGCCAGAAGGCCCTCGGCGCTGGATCTCAGTGTCCGGGCTGAACGATGGGGGTGGAGACGCTCCTTCAGGTATACAAGACCAATGGGAGGAGCTTGTTGATGCAAATACAACTGGAAGCTCCCCCATGACATCACCAGGGGTCGTGCCATGGCCCTAGCCACCAGCAGGGCATCGGACAGGATCTACGACCGACGGATTCCTTTAACGGAATACCCAAAAGAGGAGGGGTAGATGATGGGCCATACCCAATCCTCCAACACAGCACACATATTCCAATGCCTAACCGCCAATACCAGAAAGTTGTGACGAATTGCTACGAGGCAGGCGGAAAAACCAAGAGGCTGGTGCCAATTTGCCAAATGGATAAAAAAGTCCTACCAGGCCCCTTGGGCAACCAAGGCAACCAACCGAAGTCCATAGCAAGGACACAAAAAGAAGCTGACCTAAGAGGGAGGGCGGGAGGGCGGGAGATCCAAAGAAAGCAGGAACAGGCTGGGAGCTGAGCGCTGCCGCGGCTGTTTAAATGCATTTAGCCCCGCCCACCAGTTGGCCCTATTGGTCGGCTGGAAGGCTTGGCCGCGGCAGCTGAAGCAATCAGGAGCAAGGAGCCGAATACGCCTCCCTGCACCCGCGGGAAGCTGCTCCCGCTCACAACCCCTCCCCTCTGGGAGGAGGAGAGGCCTTGTAAACAAATTGTTTACAACACTTGCAAGCAGCCAGACTGAGAGCAGATTTATGTTTAACTGAGATTCTGCATTGGACTACCTGGCCCTTGGGGGGTGGGGTTCCTTTCCGCTTCTACAGTTTCATGATTCCGTGTCGGGGCAAAGACTGAAAGGATCAGCTCTGCATCTCCAGCTGCCCAACTTAGAGCTCCAGAGTTTGAACCAAGACGATGTTCTGTTCTCCTTGGGGCTCTGTGCACAAAGGTGGGGGCTAGGCATGCATGCTAGTGATGTATGGAAGTGAGAGCTGGATCATAAAGAAGGCTGATCGCCAAAGAATTGATGCTTTTGAGTTATGGTGCTGGAGGAGACTCTTGAGAGTCCCATGGACTGCAAGAAGATCAAACCTCTCCATTCTAAAGGAAATCAGCCCTGAGTGCTCACTGGAAGGACAGATCCTGAAGCTGAGGCTCCAAGACTTTGGCCACCTCATGAGAAGAGAAGACTCCCTGGAAAAGACCCTGATGTTGGGAAAGTTGAAGGGCACAAGGAGAAGGGGACGACAGAGGACGAGATGGTGGGACAGTGTTCTCAAAGCTACCAGCATGAGTTTGACCAAACTGTGGAAGACAGGAGTGCCTGGCATACTCTGGTCCATGGGGTCACGAAGAGTCAGACACGACTAAACGACGACAACAACAACAACAGCAACAGGCATGCATGCAGCGTGCACCACAGTGGAGCCTGTCTTTCAAGAACTGGCATGTAAAGTGCTCACTCTGACCGAGGCGGCGTCATGGAAAATCTGCCTCCGCCTTAGCTCTCGCTTGCCCTCTTCCTGACTGTGGTTTTGCGGGCCGTGCAGGGCTCACACCGATATGGCTGCCTGATGCTCCCCAGGCACTTATCGTACCTTCCCCATTTCCTGCCCTCCTCCCTCCCCCCACTTGTCCTTGTTATAAGAATTTAAGGTCTCAAATATATAAATTAAATGTGCAAGGCAAACTCGTACGTAAATACATAAACCACATGTCTGAAACAGTACAGGAAGACAGTCCTGAAACCATTTTGACTCTCCCAAACTGACCAAACGTTTCTCTGCAAGGAGGGAAGAACTGAAAAAACCTGCCCATTGTCTCTGTGCTCACAAATCCTGCTTTAAGGGCACATTTAAGGTGTGAATAGGGTGAGCCGGAGACCTGTGACCTGGATTCAGGAATTAAGTACTTATAAGGTTTGAATCCCAGCAACAGAAGCTCCCATTGCTCGGTCCCTGCTCCTGCCAACCTAGTAGTTCGAAAGCACGTCAAAGTGCAAGTAGATAAATAGGTACTGCTCTGACGGAAAGGTAAACGGCATTTCCGTGCGCTGCTCTGGTTCGCCAGAAGCGGCTTAGTCATGCTGGCCACATGACCCGGAAGCTGTACTCCGGCTCCATCGGCCAATAAAGCGAGATGAGCGCTGCAACCCCAGAGTCGTCCATGACTGGATGTAACGGTCAGGGGTCCCTTTACCTTTGGTAACCTGCCAGACAGGAGATAAACAACACACTCAGGATTCTGTTTTAGACTGCCCCCTTCTGTGATGTATGTATGATGTTTCTGGGGGTGATGTGGACTTTGAGGGTGGGCAATCGAGGGTGGGCAATTCCAAAAGTCTATATAAGGGCGGGCAGACCTTTGTTCTGGGTCCTCCTCCATCCTCCTGTGTGTGAGGGGAGCACCCTGTTGCAACAGCTTTAATAAAGATCAGGCTTACTAGCTTCTTAATATTCTCTGGCTGGCCTCTGTTATTTTCTCCTACCGATGGAGAACCTACAAAGGACTCTATAAGAGCTCTTGTGTACCCCATAAGGGAATAAGGCCAATTTTTGTTGACAACACCTTCAGTGTCCTTGGGCGGAACCTGCACCTTAGAAAGTGGGCATTGGAAAGAAGCCTGCGATGACACGGAATTCCATTTTATTTCATTAAATTTATGCACTGCTCAATTGTAAAGAAGAGGGAGAAAACATTTCAAAGCAGATTTGCAAAGAGAATAAAACAATAAATTAAAAAAAAAACCCTATTTAAAACGTTCAGAAGATAAACTCAGCAGTTAACTAAAACATACAGCAGAATACTACATGTCTGGGCAGGCTTCTCTAAACAAAAATGTTTTTTAGCAGGCGCCAAGAAAAAGCACAGAGAAGGCACCTGCCCCGTGTGAATAGGCAGGGAGTTCCAAAGTTTGGGTGCTGCCACAGGGAAAGAATGGGGGCCAACTGCCATGATAGCTATGCCTACCTCCCTTGTCTGAGGCAGTAGTGCTTCTGAATACCAGTTGCATGTGTCCCACTAGGGCAGGCGTAGGCAAACTCGGCCCTCCAGATGTTTTGGGACTACAACTCCCACCATCCCTAGCTAACAGGACCAGTGGTCAGGGATGATGGGGATTGTAGTCTCAAAACATCTGGAGGGCCGAGTTTGCCTATGCCTGCATTAGGGCATCTGGTTGGCCACCGTAAGAACAGGGACCACATAACACCGGTTCTGAGAGATCTGCATTGGCTGCCAGTATGTTTCCGAGCATGATTCAAAGTGTTGGTGCTGACCTTTAAAGCCCTAAACGGCCTCGGTCCAGTATACCTGAAGGAGCGTCTCCTGTTCTACCCAGACACTGAGGTCCAGTGCCAAGGGCCTTCTTGTGATTCCCTCATTGCGAGAAGTGAGGCTACAGGGAACCAGACAGAGGGCCTTCTCGGTAGTGGCGCCCGCCCTGTGGAACGCCCTCCCATCAGATGTCAAAGAGATAAATAATTACCTGACATTCAGAAGACATCTTAAGGCAGCCCTGTTCAGGGAAGATTTTAATATGTAACGCTGTACTGTTTTTAACACTGACTGGGAGCCGCCCAGAGTGGCTGGGGAGACTCAGCCAGATGGGTGGGGTATAAATAATAAATAATAAATTATTATTATTATTATTATTATTATTATTATTATTATTAACAGGATGCTGGACTAGATGGGCCATTGGCCTGATACCGCAGCCAAGATCTTTTTAAGTTCTTATGTTTCCTTCCAGCTGCTGAGAGGCAGTTTCCTGTGGCCGTGAGGGCAACCGAGGCCTCTGAGCGCTGTCAGATCTGGGGCATGTTCTTTCTCTGTGCCAAAGCGGATGCCTTGGAGCTGCAGGACAAGCAAGCGGGGGAAGTGATCTACACCTGGCCGTACAAGTTCCTGCGGAGATTCGGTCATGACAAGGTAATGGCTGTTTGTCTCCGGTGCAGCACATTTCAAGTGTGCAATGCCAGACAGTTTCTGTTCCTAAGCGGATCTGGTGGTATGGATAGGAAGTTGCCAGTGGCCTGGTGTTGCCTCCTTTCCACTGACCATGCCTCCCAGATGTGCCTCCTTTCCAGATGTGTTTCCGCTCCCTGCCTCCCTGCTGTTCCTTCCTGGCTGTTTAAGGGGGGAGGGTTGTCCTGCTCACCTGGTTTTCCACTGACAGTGTGCACCCACCTTGGGCGGCAGAAGGAGATGGTACGCCCCTGGGGAAGTGGAGGAGGGAGCTGAGATAGGAGCCAAGTCTGTGAAATGGGTGGTAGTGGGGGAATCATGATGTGCTGGTCCCGTGGGTTACCTAAGGCGAGGTCCAAGTCCGGTCCCTGGTCAAAGGTGCAACGTGGAGGCAGTCCGTAGTAGCTGAAGTTGGGTGCAGGGCAGGGAGCCGGGTGAAGTCAGGAACAGGCTTGCAAGCAGGGAGCCAGGGCCGGTCAGGAGCTCAGGCAGGAAAAGCAGGACAGGGTTCAGGCAGGAACTAGCAACCAACAATGTTGCTCCCGCAACTTAGGACTGGGGTTGACCAGCTTTTATCTACCCGGAGGCATAGGGCAGCCCCAATCCTCTGCTGACTCACCTCTCCTGGCCTGGAGGCGAGCACTCCTCCTGCGGGAACTTAGTTCCTTCCACCTCTCTGCCCTGAGCCTCTGCAGCCCAGGAGAGGCTGGAGGATTACCGGACCCAGAGGCAACCTCGGCTTCCTCTGACGGGGCTGAGAGTGGAGCACCTGCAGGCAATGGGTCCTCCATCACCTCAAGAGCCAGAGCAGACTCAGCTGATGCCTGCACCTGAGGACCCAGCACAGGTGAGGACCCTTCAGGCTCATGCCCCAGCCCCGGCTCAGCTGGTTCTGGAGGCGGGGAATCCTGTGCAGGCTGGGATCCCTCAGGTTCAGCATCCGAGTCCGAATCCCAGGCCATCACACATGATTTTGCAGAGCCATTTCCTGTCTTTGGAGGAAGTTTTGTGCCAGCCGGGTGGGGCTTTCCTGCCCCCCTCCACTCTGCCTCCTGCAGGATGCCCTGAGTTCTTCTCTTCCCACATCCCAGGGAAGGAACCATGCAGAGGAAGTAAGTCCTGTATTGCAGGGGTTTGGATTAGATGACCAGGTGGGCCTCTTCCATCTCTACAATTCTGTGTTTGAGTTCTTTAGGGTGATGTCTTTGGGCTGAACCAGATGTGAAGATGGAGGGCTGTGATGGAAACTCCCATCTCACAGTTTCCTGGTCCTACCTAATATCTGCCACTCAACCTTGGCGGTCCTAAGTCTCACCTGGCTTTGCCTAGCAGAGAGGAGCATTTTAAGTCCCACGGGAAGCAGTGAGGGCCACCAACTTGCATAGCTTTTAAAGAGGATTGGATAAATTCATGGAGGAGAGGGCTATCGATGGCTACCAGCCATGGTGGCTCTGTTCTGCCTCCTCAATTGGAGGCAGCAATGCTAATGAATACTAGTTGCCAGAAACCACAACTAGTATTCATATTCTTAGTGGTTCTTGGGCTTAAATCTTGCTTGCTGGTTTCCCAATAGAGGCATCTGGTTGACCACTGTGAGATGGAGATGCTGGACTAGATGGGTCCATGGCCTGATCCAGCAGGCTCTTCCTATGTTGTTAGAAGATGGAGAATTGTTATGGGAGCTCCCGTCTCCTAGCCTCCTGGTCCCATTGACTCCCCCCCCCCCCATTTTTTATTAGTTTTCCAAATTTATAACAAACAGATAGAAAAAAGAATATCAAAAAACAAACAAGCAAACCGACAAACATTTAACCTGATTATAGTAGTTCCACTTTTATTAACATTGTTAGGTGACTTCCTCAAATCCCCCTGGCTGAGTTTCCATATAAATCATTGTAACTTTTCCAGAATTATTTTCACATAAAATTTACTTGGTCAATTAACATCTTTCTTTCTTTTCATTTTTAACTTTAACATAGTATTTTACACCTCACATTTTCAAATCCTAAGCCTATTTGGTACTCACAAGTGATTCTATTTACCGTATTTTTTGCTCTATAAGACTCACTTTGTCCCTCCTAAAAAGTAAGGGGAAATGTGTGTGCGTCTTATGGAGCGAATGCAGGCTGTGCAGCTATCCCAGAAGCCAGAACAGCAAGAGGGATCGCTGCTTTCGCTGTGCAGTGATCCCTCTTGTTCTGGCTTCTGAGATTCAGAATATTTTTTTTCTTGTTTTCCTCCTCCAAAAACTAGGTGCGTCTTATGGTCTGGTGCGTCTTATAGAGCGAAAAATACGGTATATTATCTTAACATATTTAGCTAAATTTGAATTTCTTCCACTCCTCTTGGTGCTCCTCCTCCCTTTGGTCACGGACTCTTCTGGTCAGGTTGGCTAGCTCCGAAAAATCCATCTTCATCTGCCATTCCTCCACTGTTGGTACTTCTTGTAGTTTCCAGTTTTTGGCCAGCAAAATTCTAGCTGCAGTTGTGGCATACAAAAACAATCTAACATCTTTTTTGTGCAATTCCAAACCTATTATTCCAAGTAGAAAGGCTTCTGGTTTCTTAATAAATGTATATTTCAACATTTATTCAACAGCTAGTTTTACAGGGGTTAAGTACCATCTATACATCATTTTCACCTGGTCCCATTGACTCTCTGCTTACCTTGATGGGCCTCACCTGACTTTGCCCAGCAGAGAGGAGCATTTCAAGCTGCTGGTCCACTTGTTCCTCCCTACAAACTGACCCCATGAGACCTTGTGTTTCTTCTCCTAGGCCATCTTCTCCTTTGAAGCTGGGCGGAGATGTGCCTCTGGAGAAGGTAGCTTTGAATTTGCCACCAAGCAGGGCAGCGAGATCATCCAGGTCATTGAAGGTGCCATCAATGCTCAGAGGAACTCCTCCAGTGCATCTTCAGTTGCCACCCTTCTTGCCGGGGCCGCCAGCCCAGCCAAGCCTGTCGAAGGTGCCCAGGGGGCGAAAGCCACTGTGCTGGTAGAAGGGCAGTCATTCCGTACTGCGGGCACCAAATCCCTCTCCTTCGAGTCCACCTGGCAAGGAAGACCAGCAAAGGGCAGGTTAGTCAAGCCTACGGCCAGCTGCCCTCTCTCCAGCACCAACTGCCCCTACATGGAGGGGTCTGATGCCCACCCCAGGCGAGAACCCCAGCAGGAATCAATGTCTGAGTACTCGGAGCCATTTGATGCCATCTCCAAGTCGTTGGGAAGCTCAGGTGGCAGCTGTTTCCCCTTGCCTACCACCGAGGAGCCACCGGGGGCAGCCGGCTTGCATGCCAGGACCAGAGGGTTGGGCCTGTCCCCTGCCTCTCTGGGGCTGCACCACATCTATGATGACCCAGAGGGTCTGGCCCACCTGGTGTACGATGAGCCTCAGGAGTTCACGGGGGACGCCTGGAAGGTGCAGGCCACTCCTGAGGACCCTATCGGCCACGAATACCCCTACAACCCAAGCTTGGATGACTACTCTGTGCCTAAGATGGCGGCAGCTTATGCCCCCGTGCAAGATCAAAATGGGCTTGGAGAAAGTGCATATGATCAGGTGATCTTGAGCCTCAAGAACAAGAAAAATGCACAGTGAAAGGAGAGGATGGAATGAATGAATGAATGAATGAATGAATGAATATGAAGGGGGTGGATGGGAAATGAGAGGATCACTTTGTTTCATTTGTTGTGGGAGATGAGCCCAGGTGCAGCCTCCCTGCCTGCCCTCCTCTCAGAGCTCAAGTACCGTATTTTTCGCTCCATAAGACGCACTTTTCTTTTTTTCTTTTTTTATAAGATATTTATTAGCATTTTACAAAAAACATAGGTTTACAGAATAAAGAAAATTAAAACAAAAATTAACAAACTAAAAGGAAAACATAGAAAGGAGAAGAAAAAAGATAACAAGAAAAATACAGGAATTACCAAAAAATACATAAAAGAAAAAAAAGAAAATACAAAATACAAAAAACAAATTGCTAAGAAAAAATTTAAAAATAAATCCATTTTTCAATATCTTTAAACTCATTTGCTTGTTTCCTTGACCTCCTCACACCTCCCCTTTTTGTATTCCCATTTACATAATCAATTCAGCAAATCCTTACCCTCTTTCATTTATCTTAACTCTATATCTTAACCTATTATTACTATGTATTTTCATCCATTATCAATCCATATTTGCATATTCTTATTAACCTTGTTACCAATACCACTTATTTTCAATCCAACATCATTTTAACATTCATTAATTTTACAGTATTTCTGCAAATAGTCTTTAAATTTCTTCCAGTCTTCTTCCATATAAGACGCACTTTTCTCCTCCTAAAAACTAAGGGGAAATGTGTGTGCGTCTTACGGAGCGAATGCAGGCAGGAGGCTCTGCTCAGCACGCCCTATAAAGAGCCGCGCGGAGCGTGTGTGCGGCTCTTCGGGGAAAAGCCCCCAGGAGCCGCACACACACTCCGCACGCTCTTTAAAGGGAGTGCGGCTCTTGGGGGACCCTTAGCCGCACGCAGCCTCTCCCAGGCAATGGAAGCCTTCATCCCACTGCCCGGGAGAAGCTGCGCGCGGCTATCCCTTAAGCCAGGACAGCAAGCAGGATCGCTGCACAGCGTTGCCGCTTGCTGTCCTGGCTTCTGGGATTCAGAATATTGTTTTTCTTGTTTTCCTCTTCCAAAAACTAGGTGCGCCTTATGGTCTGGTGCATCTTATAGAGCGAAATGTGGTATGTTTATAGAGGAAGTCTGCTGACCCTCTGGGATAATCCAGGAACAGGGGTTGAAGTTGGTACAAAAATGGTATTATACACCTGTAAGGTTATATCATATTACAAAATCTGGAAGTAAGAATTGTTGGAGGAAATGTGGAGTGATGGGAACGTACAGTCATATGTGGTGGGATTGTCCATTAGTTAATGAATTTTGGAAACAGATTGGTATAGAAATTCTGGGTAGGAAGGTGGGAATATCTAAATTAATGGTTCTTATTAGTCTGAGTAGCACCGAGTTCAAAACAAAAGAGGAATGTAAATGGGTAAAATGGATGGTAACTGCGGCCAGACAGGTTATAGCGAGTAACTGGAAAAATGTAGAAGTGCTGGGGTGAACCAATGGAGGAAAAAATTGAATATTATAATTTTAGAATATCTAACTGTGAAGATATACAGAATGAAAGGGTTTAAGGTCAGTGAGAAAGAGGAGGAATGGTTTGAGAAGATATTGAATTATTTGGGTAGGTTTGAACAATTTGGGGCAATTAAAATGTTAAAAGTCAAATAAACTTTGTGGATGGAGGAGTATTAACGTTTATAAAATTGTACATATGGTTGATTTGAATATGTTATTATTGATTATGTATACCCAATGTATCTGTCACCTGGGGGGTTTCACACTTTGTGTTTTGGTTGTTGGTAAAACATAAAAATTTTAAACATAAAAAAAGGAAGTATTCTGGCCATCATTATTGCAGGTAGATCCAACTGAGTGGGAGAGAGCAGGCTTGCTGCAATTTTGAAGGCTGTGTGCCATGTGATGCATTATGCGCCAGTACGGCTTCCCTACATGAAATATATTAAAGGGTGAAGACTATGATACATAGCTGCTCTGCAAACACGCATAAGGTTTTTCATTCTGCAGGGCGCTTGCCTTCCACTTGTGGCTCAGCTGATCTGAGGTGAAGCCAAGTTCTGCCTTGAGCCACCAAGAGGCCTTGGTCTCTCTTCCAGTCTTCTGAGCTGCTCCCACTCTGATGGCTTAGCATGTCGCTCTTTCTCTTTCTCCCCCTTTGGAGTGGTGTTTCTGGGGATCTCTGTGGGGTTCCTAACTCTCGAAAGAGACTGCTAAAAAGAGCAGAGAAAGCTAGAAAGCATTAAACACCTACAAAAAGTCTTTAAGTAAGCAGGTATGTCTTCACTTGTTGCTGAAAGGACAGTCATGTTGGCATTCCACAGATGGGCCACCACAGAAAGTCTCCGTCCCATGTCAAGAATCATCCTGTAAGAGTCAAATTCAAAGAAAAGGCCCTTGTGTTGAGTTCAGAAATTTTGGCCCCAAGCCACCTGGAGCTTTAAAGAGGATCTTCTGGAGAGCAACTAATGAAGAAGTAAGTGAGGGGTGGGAAATGTATCATCCATGGGCCAAGGAACTCAAATTAGGCACATGAGACCATTTTCTGAAAGCCACCATCCAGCTGTCAGTCAGCTGATGTCACTTTGATGGGTCAGGGATATCAGCTGATGAGTGGGGCTCAATTATCTGTTGGTTGCACTCAGTGATTCCCCATCCAGGGGTTAAATCCTACTCAGTTTGGAAGGATTCAATGCAAACTCCTTCCTGATCACAGCAGGTTTAAACAGTTTCTAAAACAAAGGTTTAACCCCTCTGTTTTAGCAGGGCCTGCGAGGCGCTTTGAAGTTCCGACTTTGGGTCTTCAAAGCACCCAAACCCCCTATGTCATTGTTTATTTACTTACGCATTCATAATTCACACTTTCATTAAAAAACAAAATCAAGGCAGTATACATGTATACACAAATCAGCAAAAAGCACCCATAAAACATAGTTTAAATCATCAATAAATACTAAATGATTAACGAGAAAATTAATATTGCAAACTCACTACATCTCACTCACTACAGAAAGCCACTGCGTATTACTGTATCACTGTTACCTAGGGTAACAACAGCTTTGGAAACTTGAACTTACATCTGACAATCTTTGCCACTTCCACTTCCTCTTCCATAGACCTAACAATTCAGAAAATACTTTTCATGATTATTTTTATTTTATTTTATGTTCAGTCCTTTCAACAGAAGACTTTACATCCAAAATAAACCAGAATACAAGCAAAAACATGACTCACATATTTTCATTTGTACCAAATTCTTCTCAAATTCCCTTGTTTTTCTACTCTTTAATGTTAAACTTCTTCTTTTAACTCCTTGTTATTTGCCTCTTAAATCCACCTATGTATCCTTGACAATTTTCCAAGTATCGCCCTATGCCTCCCTCTTCCCGATCCATTGCTTCCCTTCACCCATGTGCGATCTTCTCTACATAATATTGTTTCTCAGTGTGTTAATTAAAGTTGTATTTATTGTTTCGTATATATTATGATATCATCTTGTATCCTTGCTCACTTCGGCTTTTGCATATTAAATCTGAGCTCCAATCCCAGTTCTTTCCATGGAAAGAACTTTTCAAGATTATGGCCAGGTGGCTGTCAGGAGCTAGTGGGACTCGAACCCATAGCCTTGGGATATGTGTGTCCCTGGTGGTGAGCTGGAGGTCTGCAGGATGCTGCATTTACCTGTCAGGAGTTCAGCCTACACTCAAGTAGGACCCTGGCAGAGACACTCGAGTAGGACCCTGGCAGAGTCGTTTGTTCAGGAGCTTCAAAAGCTTTCTTCAGCAACATTACAGTGACCGATGCCAACCGACACCGGCACACTTAGGGATCCGCAGAGTCTGCGCAGTTGCATAACAGACCTCAACAACTCAGCATTTTGGCTAATCTACTTTATTTACATATAAACACACACGGAGCACTGCAAGATGGCTCCCTCTCTCTCTAGCATCAGACAGCAAAGAGAAAAAGAACAAAGGACAATAGTCCCACTTCACAGAACACAGTAACATAAACATCCTGCCTCCGTCAGTTCCTACTCTGTGGAGTCAAAACATATACAGTGGTACCTTGGGTTACAGATGCTTCAGGTTACAGAGGCTTCAGGTTACAGACTCCACTAACCTCGGGTTAAGAACTTTGCTTCAGGATGAGAACAGAAATCGTGCTCCGGCGGCACAGTGGCCCATGTTTTTTGGCAATTTGTGGAAATGGGACTTAAACATTCAACACCATTGGACCCAGCAGTGCCAGATTTAGTACGGGCCAGTCTTGCCAGACTCTGGGGTTGTGCGCCCATCTCACTTAAGAGGCCAGGGGCCAGCGCTGTCCGGAGACACTTCCGGGTCACTTGGCCAGCGTTACAAAGCTGCATCTGGCGAGCCAGCGCAGCACACAGAAACGCCGTTTACCTTCCCGCCAGTAAGTGTTCCCTATTCATCTACTTGCACCCGAGGGTGCTTTCGAACTGCTAGGTTGACAGGCGCTGGGACTGAGCAACGGGAGCGCACCCCGCCGCGGGGATTCGAACCGCCGACCTTTCAATCGGCAAGTCCTAGGCACTGAGGCTTTAACCCACAGCGCCACCCGCGTCCTTATGCGGGTGCAAGTATGCGGGTAAATATTACCTATGCGGGTAAATATGCCAGATTTACATATAAGTATGCGGGTAAATATGCCAGATTTACATATAAGCTAAACAAGCTATAGCTTAGGGCCCCACTCTCTTGCACCCCCCATATCACTATTAATATACTTCTTAATTGTATTTCAGTTCAACAATTACTTTGATAAAATACATATTTTGTTATGTGCAAACGGCTTTAGATACCTATTAGGTCCATAAATTACCATATAGCATATATATTCAACACAGAAAAACAGTGACAATTTGTTGTTGGCAAAGGACATTTGGACATATAAAGCGCCCCATTACCTTCAGTGGCTTAAAGGTAAAGGTAAAGGGACCCCTGACCATTAGGTCCAGTCGTGGATGACTCTGGGGTTGTGGTGCTCATCTCGCTTTATTGGCCAAGGGAGCCGGCGTACAGCTTCCGGGTCATGTGGCCAGCATGACTAAGCTGCTTCTGGCAAACCAGAGCAGCACACGGAAACACCGTTTACCTTCCCGCCGGAGCGGTACCTATTTATCTACTTGCACTTTGACGTGCTTTCGAACCGCTAGGTTG